CTCCTTTAACTTATGAGCACAGGTGGTACAGTTTTTAATCTGAGATACTTGGGACCAGATGTGCTTTCAGAATTTGGGGTACCTTTACAGACTTCATTGGTCGAACATTTCTAACATGAAAAGTTCACATCTAAAATGCTCCAAAATCTAAAATTTATTGAGGGTTATATAGGTAATCCTATCTAAACATTTGATTTTGGGTATCATGTCAACAGGCATGTTTGTTCTTAATAGTGTTTGCTTTACGTATTTTGAAACTCTTCGAAAGGACAAGGGGATTGTGTTCCTTTGGTTAATTTGATTGATTAATCACTTAATCATTATGAATAACTCTTTATCCCTGATAGTATTTTTTGCTCCGTTTTCAAAGAAAACTCTGGTAGAAAAAACTCTCTACCATCCAAACAGCAAATTTTTGTTGGTCATGGTGTATGGTTTCAATTTTCCTCAAAGGCATTTATTGACTGCATTCTTGGCATATTATCATAGGATGTTCAAGACTATTTACTTACTCCCCAGGACTGATGCCAGGATTTAGGTTTTCAAAAACATGCTATGTTTCAGATAAAAAGTGGTTCAAGGGCCACAGACTCATCTGAGTTTCATCAACCTAAGCCCAAATATTTGGACTTGAATTTCAGACTTTCTATCTATGCTGTCAATCCAATTCTACAGGATCATTTTATATATGGGAAAACTAACGCGGCACTAGCACAGGAAGGTCAAATGGGCAAATTTTCTTTCATTGGGCAGAACAGATTGTGGCAATAAGGTAAAAGAACACATTTGCTGATACTAGGACACCATGGCTTTATAATCTTCACACCTTGTTTTCAACTACTTGGCTTCAAATTTGTGATATATTATACCCTTAGGGGAAAATAATCAAATGACTTCTCTATTCTCCAGTTTTCAAAGCTCTGTGGAAGTTACTACATTTCTAAATTACTTGCCCATTCATCTACAAAAATGTTACTAATTATTTCAGCTGTCATAATTATGTTCAATTTTCATTGTGATTTTTTTTTAATCACATTTGTTCTCAACTCCACTGGGCTTAAATATATATGTATACACATTAACATATATGTGTTTGATTGAATACTTTCAGAACATACTTTTAAAAGTACTTTTAGGAAGTTTCCACTAAGCCCAGTGCTGGGGATCAAAGTCATCCTTTGCACATGTGAAGTGCTTTTCCCCTGAGCATAATCAGCCTCATAACTGTGATACTAAAGAGCACAGGTTTTAGAATCTCCATTTTTATTTGGTGATTTCTGTATAATTGTTTCAGTTGTTCACGCTTGAGACACTCAGTATGCACCAGGCTACATGGGAATTACTAATAGTCACATGTATGAAAGGCTTGGAAAATCAGCACGCAATGGATAAACTTAAAATAAACAATGTTCAGTTTTTGTGCAATTAAGATACAGTTGTAAGTTTTCCAAGCTACTGTTAAAGGACCCTTTTGGTTTTGGAAAATAATACATGCATAGCATAGGAGAGAAAACCAATGTCCTTTTCATTCTCAAGGGGTGGTGAATATACAAATGATGCCTATACAAATGACAATGCCATATGAAGCAAATTCCACTGGTTACTAATCAAGTATGCAACCTCTGTGGCTAAAAATAGAATTCTGTGACCTCTTTCAAAACACAACTTTTCTGTGGATGAAGGTTTGTTTTGGGCCCACCAGAAGCTTTTAACATAAAAAGGGTAGGGGAATGCTTGAAGAGGAAGCCATGCAGATAACCAAAATTCTCCAGCTTCCTTTTCTTTCAGAACTGAAGATGCTTTCAGTTTGCTTCTTCCTTTAATGAGGACAGAGAAGCCTTACATTTCCAGAAGTTCAAATCATACACACAGTAGGTTAGCACCTCAAAGTACTAAATTTCTAGAGGTAGAAGTAGAGGGATGTTTTCTTGGTGTGGTCTTGATGAGGCCAATATGTCTATTTGGTCAGGCTAACCATGGGAACCACTCTTGGCTCTGGATTTGGCAGAGCAGCGGCTTGTCGAGATATTCAGGACAATCACTGTGGAGAGAAATTTATCTTATTTTTTCATCCCTTTCTGTCACACTGATAAAACACTGTTACTAGTTTTATTTTGGATGGTCATAAGAATTTAGGAACACTGTACTTCAACTAAAATAAATTCTGCCATACTCTGAGCTATAATTACATTGCAAGTCAATTGTTACTTCCACCTTCTTACTCATGCCCAGTCCACAGAAATCTCTTGGATCTACTTAGTACAATTGGAAATTGCACTCTGAATACTGTCGGTGAAGCCAACCTCTCACACGATAATCAATGTGATACTCTTACTGGTCTCTTAGCTCCCAGTGCTTCTTTCCCTAGCCTCTCTTCACAGGCTTGGCCCTAAGATCCTTTTAAAGGTTGCTATCATCATACTGGGCCACCGTTTGGCTCAACACTTACCTGCAGCTCTTCATTTTATTCAAAGCCAAGTCCCTTACAAAACCCCTCTATACTCTATGCCTCCTTCAAGCTAGCCAGTCTTCCTCCACATACACTATGACCAACCACACAAGGGTAGCTACATGCTACCTCTTCTGCTCTTTCCTCTGTGAGTCCCATCCAAATGACCAATTTGAATATACACACACCTGCACATATCGAGAGTCTCCTAGTCTTTGCCTTAGTTTCTCCACAGTATTTACTCTCCAACAAGGAATCACCCAAATGTAGTTTCTGAACTTTCTCACTAGTGCCCAGGTATCACTGATGCCTTGTGGAGTGTTAGTGTTACTCCTGATGCCTTGTGGACCAGGGTCTACCCCTTTGTGAAGAACTGCTTTGGCAATCTCCTCTTTGTCTCCTGTTCTTTTTGATAAGCATAGGGCTAAGCCACTAAAATGTTAGGGTCATTAGACAAAGTATCTCTGACAGCATGGAACTCAGAGTCCCACTGCTGGAGTTTCTGACTGATACAGCTGAGGAAGCACCTGAGAAATAAATTTCTAACAAGCATCCTTGAAAAACACTTATAACATGTGCTAACTTTTGTTGAAGATGGCCATTTCCTCCCCAGTAGAATATAAACTGAGGCTGACTTTATTTTCTGCCATTTGCACAAAGCAGCAGCTTAAAAAATACATGTTAAATGAGTGCAAAGCACATCAGAAAATGCATCCCAAATTAAGGGGAGAGGTACATACAAAGACATTAAATATAGTTCAGCCCCTCATGCAAGAAAATATTTCCTGATTATTTGGAAAATAAATTATCATTCATATTTTACATTATTCAAAGCATCTGAATGAATAATCAACATGGATAGAATGCTACTGTGTGCTAAGCACCTTGCACATGGCATTTCATGCATGTCTACAATCAGATACTACTGCTGTCCCTTCCATCTTACAGGTAGGGGCTCTGGGTTGTAGCAATGTACTTCATGGTTGTTTCCTTACCTGAATATGCTCTGCCAACAGGGAGTGAAACAGGAAGTTACAGCTTTACTTCCAATGTGCAAACATGTCCAGGCTTGCATTAAATTTTGCTATACCACATTTATGCCTGTTGAGAAGACCAACCATACAAGAATGTTTTGATTCTGATGTTCTATAAAACCATAGCAGAGCACTGGATTTACAGATAGAAATGCTGAGCCAGAGTATGTTTATTAGTACTTTCCAGGAGATGTATGCCATGAATTCTTTGTGATGATGTTAACAGTCAGTAAATATATCCATTCTATAAAACTGAACAATAATATACTAATGTGGAGAAAAACAGACAAAAATAACGAGTTAGTGACGTTTTTGCTCTCAAGAAGGTTAGAATAAAATTTTTCAGTTGATTTGTTTCTTAAAGGGCTAGATAGTAAACATTCAGACTTACAAGCCATATAACTCTACAATTGTGAAAGTCATCCACACAATATATAAACAAATGGGTATGGTGTCATTCAAATAAGACTATATATGATAGGTGAAGTCTATAGGTCATGGCCTGCTGTCCCATGTTAAATATAAACTATTGGCCATGACCTGCTGTGTCCAATGTTAATAGAGCCTATGGGCTATGGCCTGCTATTCCCTATGATAAATAGAGTCTATGTCCCCTACTAAAAAATTCTAATCCAAATGGCATAAGCAAAATGGATGAGATCCTTTTAAAGGTTTCAGGTGAACTTGTCAAATTTACCTTTTAATTAAAAACATGTAATAAAAATAATGTTTCTATCATGCAAATCACAACATGGTTGGCTCTGGGGTACATTCAAATAGTTAAAAAGAATCCTTGTATTAGTGTCCATAGGGCACACCTGCAGGTGGTAGAAAACTCATAAACTTAACCAGGAACTAAAAGTCTTTATCCCCACTCAACAAGCCCATAAGAGCAGAAGAGAATCTTTACGACACTAGTTTGCTAGCATTTGAACAAAATTCTTTTCTTCATTTTCTAATACATGAATCAAGGGCTGCTGAAGGACAGTAACCCACTGTGAGTGTCTGTGGGTAGGAAGAAGTCACTGGAAGCCAGTGTTATTTTTCAGTGATAAAGTTATTTTTCTTCCTCTCTACCTTGTATTTCCTTCCATGACCTTTTATTTTTACTGAGTTATATCTAAATATGAATATAAATTGCATGTATTCTCTGTGATCATTTACCATTTTTGAATGTTCACATTTGCCTTACAAATCTTATGGAGAAAAAAAAGCCAGGAACTCAATCCAGAATATTCTGGCAATCTTTATTAAAAGTTTTGAATATTACAGCAACATAATACGGTTTGTTTATCCAAATATTACAGATTTTTCAAAAACTTCCTTTAGTGTATATAAATTAAGAAAGCTTATACCCAACATGATTTTTTACGGGGACATTTTCATTTTTTGAAGCAGCGTTGATGCTAACATCAGCTCTATGTACTCAGGGATAACTGGATCCACTAAATGGACAATGACAACTGGCTGAGCAGCTGAAGAATGCCTCTCTAGGAATTTGAAACACACAGGAGTTGTCTTACTCAGTGGAACTGCAATCTTCTGTAAACCATGCTCCCAAAAGCTGAGGAAAGTGTAAGGAGTGTTGTTAGTTCTGTAGGCCGAAGGAGCATGACTTCTACTGCAGAGGCTTCACTCTCTGCCTGTTGTCAGAAGCCTGAGAGCCTTCTGGAGGTTCTGCACAGCAGTGCCCACATCTTCGTACTGTAGAGCACTGCCAGCATATTTGCAGTACTTCTGAGCTCTAGCAAAATCCTCTGGTGTCAGGCGGATATCCCCTAAAGGAAGCACATTCAAATACATCACAGATTACACACACTGTGCTGCTCCTTTGGCATCTGTTTACACTCAAGATGAAACAATACATTCATGCTTATGTAAAAAGATCAAGCTTCCTTTGTTACTTATATAAAGCAGGCACACCGCAACAAAAATAACTTAGATATATACACTTTCTCATCAGTAAGTAACAAACCAGAAGTCTTTATTTTAGGAAATTAACTGGGAGGGGAAAAAAAAGACTGGCTGTGTGAAAAAAGAAAAGCTGTTTGATGTTTATACTAGAATGCTGAGCCACTCTTCATGGAATACCACAGACAGACTAAATCCTTCAGCCGTTATTTGAGCTAGAATATAAATATATCCTCCAATACAATGGGAGGAGGGGGTGACATACTCTATGCTGAACATTGTCATTTTTTAAGCATTAAAATAGTCTACATTTTGCTTCATTCATGTGAAAAAAAACCCTTAAGGTCATCCCCCCCAATTCTTATCATTAAAATGTACAACAAAACATGAAAATAGCCATTATAAAACAATTCTTCAAAATTTATTTCCAGCAGTTTTCTACTTACAGATGTGAAATATGCAAGAATTCAACTAAATAATTTGGGTAAAAATACATTATTTACTTAATCTAAGACACAAATGTCTGCATATATGTATTTCTACAGTAAGATAAAAGCACAGTGTTTTGTCTTTGGAGAAGAAACAAATGGGTGTTTATTTATTTTTGGTGCGGAAAATGTTGAGGATGGTAACCTGGCTAGAAGGCAGAAGCACAGGAAAATGAGCAGGCAGCAGACTTTGTTTTTAAGGCTATACTGACAGATAATTTTTAAATGGTCTTTAATTTTTTCCCACTGGTGGAAATACCAAAACATGACAGCAACTGTTCGTAGGCTCATACTAAATTCTAACCAATATTACCATCTCCCAAAGCAAGCACTGAAACACTCTATGTATTTTTGTCTTAATTAGTTCAAGGCTGCCAGCTCAGTGGCTTACTGTAATGGAAAGTCTACTTTCATTGCCACTAATTCCCTATATTCTAAATATAGCTCACAAACAGTTGAATATTAATTAAATCCCAGATTTAAAAAAAAAAAGGAGTTTACACATTTCCATAGGGTAAACATGCAGGATACTACAAAAGTCAGCACTCAACTAGCCACTGAATTAGTAAAAGATTAAAGCAATTAGATAAAATCTTTTAACAGAAAGTGTTTAATTTTCTAATTTCTCTCTTTCTTTAAAAGTAATACAACCAACAAATGAGTAAAACTATAATCATATACTTAATATTCAAGCATAATTCACCACCATTTGTTAGTAGTTTAGTGGAATTGTTTGTTATTCACCTCATCAAAAAATACAAACCTTCACTTCTGTTCACAATTTTGTCATGTGCACTTCAGTTTATGCTTTGCTTAAAAAAATATCCACTAGGTTCTTCAATAGTTTTTCAAAATAATGAATGCTCTGGCCACTTGGGTCTACACACCCTCCGAGAGAGGAACAATGTGTACCTTGAGTGTACCCTAATGTGGCCCAGTTAGTCTCTGACAGCCTCTACTCCCATCTTAGAATTTTAATGCAAAGACAAGTGACTGATATTCACCACACCTGTTGCGAAAGAAGCTCCGATGCCCAGAAATACTTCATCTTTACAGCATCAATGTCAGTTTTGTTTTGCTGATGCATCACTTACTCATTAGTAAGAGAAAAGATGCATAGTAGCAAAGTTGATTTTATTTTTATAAACTTACTCACCAAGAATGAAACTGTTTTAAAATACAAACATTTTAGCTTTGTATGAAGGTATCTTAATATTAATAAAGTGTAAGTAAAGTATTACTACCAAGAAAAGACATATAAAGCTTATGAACACACATGAGACATTGATATATGAAAGACAGTAACTAGATGATAAAAATCAACATGTACATTCATATTCAAAATGTAATTTCTAGGCATATAAAGATGTTAGGCTTATTTTCAACAATGCAAAATAATTACTTGTAATATACCATTCATTTACTTCATTAAGCAATATAATTAAGTAAAATATAAGAACTTCTAATATGAATTAAAAATAAATCTGTCACATATTTAGGATTCCTGAAAATTATCACATATAATTTCAATAGAGAAGGTAGAAGAAACAAAAAAAGGAGACAGTTTAATTTCAGGGTACCTAATCTTACACTCAGTATCATAAAACAATCTTACTGTATCAAGTAAAAGCCATTTTTCTCTAAGCACAGGTGAGAAAGCACCATATGGCCCAGGTGGCGATGACATGAGGAATCAGTACAGAAATAGAAATATGTATTGCTTTTCTGAAAATAGACCAATTTTTAGAGAGGTTCTAAGTTCACAGCAAAATTAAGAGGCATTTTCTCATAATCCTTCCTGCACCATCCCAAATACGGAGAGACATAATACAGCCTACAGAAAGCCAGATGACTCACCCTGAGAAGTTGTATACAGGTCAGGATCAATGGCTGGAATAGTCTGTGGACTAGGCTGCACAGCATTGCTCGTTACACCTGTCAATCAAAACCAGAGATGTACAGAAAGTGTTTCATCCTCTAATAAAGTATTAGGAAAGAAATCAAAGGTTGGCAATTATTTCATTGCTTCAACATTTTTTTCATTTTGATGCAGGAACAGAAAATATGAGTGCTAACCTTCACGACTAGTGCTTCAAAAATTTTTTTTTTTGGAAATTAAGACATAAATATGGAGTATCAGCCCAGCCTTTGTCCCCTATCACCAGGCCTTGGCTAGAGTCTTCTGCTGGAGCCTGATTCCTGACCCCAATGCCAGGCCCCTGCCTGTGCAGAGACCTCCTAGAGAGCTTGAACCACCCAGAGCTACAGTCATCGGACCTCTGACCCACCTAAGCCCACTGGGGAAGTATCATAGAAAGAAGGAGAGACCCCACCAACACATACTGGAAGAAGCTACGGGAAGACGGCAATACAAGAAAACACCTAACAACAGAAAGAAAAGCATGACACCACCAGACTCTAGGGAATCTACACCAACTAGACTGGAACACAACAAAGCAGATGAAGCAGAAGGGAACAACTTAAAAATTATCATCATAAAAATGATAGAAGCCCTCAAAGAAGATGTGAGAAAATCCCTTAAAGAAATGGAAAAAAAAAAAAAAAAACAAAAAAGTGGAAGAAATGAACAAATTTCCTAAGAAAAGTAAAGAAAGTACAGAAAGCCAAGAAAAAACAATTAAGCAGGTGAAGGAAACAGTTCAAGACTTGAAAACTGAAATAGAGAAAATAAAGGCAACACAAACCGAAGGAATGCTGGAAATAGAAAAACTGGGGAAATGATCGGGAACTACAGACACAAGCATAACCAACAGAATTCAAGAGATAGAAGAGAGAACTCAAGCGTAGAGGATAAAATAGAGGAAATAAATGCATCAACCAAAGAAAATCGTAAATCCAACAAATGCTTAACACAAAACATCCAGGAAATGTGGGACACCATGAAAAGCCAAACCTAAGAATAATAGGCACAGAGGAAGGTGAAGAAGCCCAGAACAAAACTGCCGAAAACAAAATCATCCAGGAAAAGTTTCCAAATCTGAAGAAGGACATTCCCATGAAAGTACAAGAAGAATACTGAACACAAAATAGGCTGGACCAAAGAAAAAAGACCCCTCAACATAAAATAATCAAAAAGACCTAACATACAGAATAAAAAAAGAATATTAAGAGCAGCAAAGGAAAAAGGACAGGTAACATATAAAGGCAGATCTATCTGACTTCTCCATGGAAACCCTCAAGGCCAGAACGTCCTGGATAGATGTTTTACAAGTACCAAGAGTCCACGGATGCCAGCCCAGGCTACTATAGCCAACAAAACTCTTAGTCATTATACATGGAAAAAACAAGATAATTAATGACAAAGCTAGATTTTCCCAATAGATATCTACAAATTCAGCCCTATAGAAAGTTTTGGAAGGGAAACTCCAACCCAAGGAAGTTGACTATGCCCACAAAGATGTAGGCAACATATAATCTCACTACACCAGAAACCAAGGAAAATGTACTCACAATACCACTGCCAACAATAAACCTAAAACAAACAAGCATCAACAATCAACACCCTCAACATTAATGGTCTTAACTCACATATAAAAAGACACAGGCTAATAGAATGTATACGAAGACAGAATCCATCCTTCTGCCGCATACAAGAAACACATCTAAGCTTCAAAGATAGACATTACCTCAGGGTAAAGGGTTGGGAAAAGATCTTCCAATCAAATGGAACCAAGAAGCAAGCAGGCATGGCTATCCTAATATCTAACAAGTTTGACTTCAAACCAAAATTAATCAAAAGAGATGAATACAGTCATTTCATATTCATCACAGGAGAAATCCATCAACACAAAGTCTCAGTTCTGAACATCTATGCCCCTAATACAAAGGCACCCACATTCGTAAAAGAAACACTACTAAAACTCAAAGCTCATATAAAACCTCACACACTTATAGTGGGAGACTTCAATACACCACTCTTAACACTAGATAGGACCACAAATCAGAAACTCAACAAAGAAACAAAAGAACAGAAGTTATGTCTCAACTGGGGTTAACAGACATCTATAGAACATTCCATCCAAAGACAAAAGAATATACCTTCTTCTCTGCTCCACATGGAACCTTCTCTAAAATTGACCACATACTATGTAGCATAACAAGCCTCAATAGATATAAGAGAATTGGAATAGTTCCCAGTATCTTATCAGACCACCATGCTTTAAACTGGAATTGAACAACACAAATCACAGAAAACCTACAAACTCATGGAAACTAAACAATGTGCATTTGCACCTGGGTCAAAGAAGAAATAAAGAAAGAAATTCAGGACTTTCTAAAATTCAATGAGAATGAGGATATAACCTACTTGAATCTATGGGACACCTTGAAAGCAGGGCTATGAGGAAAGTTCATTGCACTAAGTGCCCATATGAAGAAAACAGAGGATAGTCACATAAGAGTATTAACAGCACAACTGAAATCCTTAGAACAAAAAGTAGCAAACTCACCCAGGAGGAAAAGATGCTGGGAAATAATCAATTTGAGGGCTGAAATCAACAAAATAGGGAAATACAAAAAAAAAAAAAAAAAAAAAAAAAAAAAAAAAAATCAAAGCAACAAAGAGTTGGTTTTGTGAGAAAATCAACAAGATAGACAAATCTTTATCCAAACTAACCAAAAAGCAGAGAGTGAACATGGAAATTAACAAAATTGGAAATGAAAAGGGGAACATAACAACGGACACAGTGGAAATCCAGACAATTTTCAGGTCATGCTTTGAAAATCTGTATTCCACAAAAATTGAAAATTCAAAGGAAATGGACAAATTTCTGGATAACTATCACTTACCAAAATTAAATCAAGGACAGACAAACAACTTAAATAGACCTATAACCCGCAATGAAATAGAAGCAGTCACCGAAGCCTTTCAACCAAAAAAAGCCCAGGGCCAGGTGGCTTCAGTGCAGAATTCTACCAGAAATTCAAGGAAGATCTAATAAGCATACTCTTTAAATTGTTCCACAGAATAGAAATAGAAGGTTCATTGCCAAACTTTTTACGAGGCCACAATAACCTTGGTACCCAAGCCTCAGAAAGACACAACTAAGAAAGAAAACTACAGACCAATATTCCTGATGAACATCGATGCAAAAATACTCAATAAAATACTGGCAAACCGAATTCAAGAATACATCAGAAAAATCATCCACCATGACCAAGTAGGCTTCATCCATGGAATGCATGGATGGTTTAACATACAAAAATCTATCAACGTGATCCACCATGTAAACAAACTGAAAAAGAAAAACCATATGATTATCTTCCTAGATGCTGAAAAAGCCTTCATGAAACCCCCTTTCATGATAAAGGTCTTGGAGAGATCAGGGATAGCAGAAACATACCTAAACATAATAAGAGCAATATACAGCAAACCAATGGCCAACATCAAACTGAATGGAAAGAAGCTTAAGGCGATTCCTCTAAAATCAGGAACAAGACAAGGCTACCCTCTCTCTATATCTCTTCTACATTGTACTTGAAGTTCTAGCTAAAGGTATAAGACAACAAAAGGAGATCAAGGGGATCAAAAATGGAATGGAAGAAGTCAACTGTCCCTATTTGCAGAGGATATGATAATTTACATAAGCGACCCAATAAACTCTTCAGCAAACTAGTAGGATACAAGATAAAATAAAAAAAAACTCAGTAGCCCTACTTTATTCAGACGACAAAGAGGCTGAGAAAGAAATCAGAGAAACATCACCCTTTGCAATGCCACAAACAACATAATATATCTTGGGGTAAAGCTTACCAAACAAGTAAAAGACCTAAATAATAAGAACTTTGTGGCTCTAAAGAAAGAAATTAAAGAAGATACCAGAAAGTGGAAAGATCTCCTATGTCCTTTGATATGTAGGATAAATATAGTAAAATTGGCAATCTTGCCAAAAGCAATCTACAGATTCAATGTAATCCCCATTAAAATCCCACCTCAATTTTTCACTGACCTTGAAAAGATAATAATCAACTATATATAGAAAAACAAAAGACCCAGGATAAGCAAAACAATAAAAGAACTTCAGGAGGCATGACCATCCCTGACTTTAAGCTATACTACAGAGCTATAATTCTGAAAACAGCTTGGTATTGGCACAAAAAATAGATAGGTAGACAAATGGAATCGATCTGAAAATTCTGATATAAACCCACACACCTATGAACACCTGATTTTCAACTAAACAGCTAAAAGAATACAAAGGGGTGAGGAAAGCATCTTCAACAAATGGTGCTGGCACAATTGGATGATGGTGTGTAGAAGACTGCAGATAGACCCATGTCTGTTGCATGCACAAAACTCAAGTCCAAATGGATCAAAGACCTCAACATCTATCCAGCCACACTGATCCTCTTAGAAGAGAAAGTAGGAGGTACCTGTGAACAAATTGTTATAAAAGACTGCTTCCTGAACATAACTCCAGGAGCACAGACACTGAGATCAACAACTAATAAATGGGACCTCTTCAAACTTAGATGCTTCTTTAAGGCAAAGCACACAGTGGACAAGACCAAACGGCAGCCCACAGACTGGGAAAAGATTTTCACCCATCCCACATCAGAAAAAGGGCTGATCTCCAAAATATACAAAGAACTCAAGAAACCAGTCAACAAAACACCAAATAACCCTATTAAAAAACGGGGTACAGAACTGAAGAAAGAATTCTCAAGAGAGGAAGTCAAAAAGGCTGAAAGACACTTAAGAAAAGTGCTCAACATCCTTAGCTATCAGGGAAATGCAAATCAAAACTACTTTGAGATACCATCTTATTCCTGCCAGAATGGCTAAAATTAGCAACACCAATGACAACTTATGCTGGAGAGGATGTGGAGAAAGGGGAACATTCTTCACTGCTGGTGGGAGTGCAAACTCGTACAGCCATTTTGGAGAATCAGTATGGCGCTTTCTCAGGAAAATT